TTGTCACATTCAACGTTTGTGCAATCAGTGTACACAATATTGGAGCTTTACAAATCAACAAGTGTTCCCTCTTTGACACAAGCACTTGTACACATGTGGTGACAGCTTGGACTACTGCAATGCACTCTACATGGTGCTACCTTTGAAGGTGACCCAGAAACTACAATTGATCCAGAATGAGACAGCTAGACTGGTGACTGGGAGCGGCCGAGACCATATAACACCAGTCCTGAAAGACCTACATTGGCTTCCAGTATGTTTCCGAGCACAATTCAAAATGTTGATGCTGACCTTTAAAGCCCTAAATGGCCTCGGCTCAGTATACATGAAGGAGCATCTCCACCCCCATCATTCAGCCTGGACACTGAGGTCCAGCTCCGAGGGCCTTCAAGCTCTTCCCTCACTGTGAAATTTTTAAAGTTTGATGTTTTATCATGTTTTTAATATTCTGTTGAGAGCCGCCCAGAGTGGCTGGGGAAACCCAGCCAGATGGGTGGGGTAGAAATAATAATAATAATAATAATAATAATAATAATAATATACCTGTGTTAAATATAATATGTGAACAGGCCTCATCAAATGAGTCTTCCACTGCACCAGGTCAACAGCTTCACTTTTGTATTTCAGCTTGTTAGAAAGCTCTGGTGCTCTGTCCATAAGAAGGTGACAACTCTCCAAGAAGATGGAGTAGTGTCCACAAGATTCAACGAAAATTCCAAAAATGGTTGTGAATAGGTACTGCGTTAAACTGATAAAATAATATCTTGCAATCGAGTCTTGCCATTATTACCTTTTCTTCCCTTGTCCAACATGTCGCACAACCTGAAACAATTTAATGGGATTGTCAACTGCTGTTCACATCAGACCCAGGGTTGAAATATCACAGGTGCAGCGGGTCAGGACTCCAGGGCATGGAACTGGAAGAAGCAGGCAGCTTTCATTCTGCCTGCCTGCAGAGCTGTCTCCAGAGTTCCTGGTCTTTTGCTTTCCCGAACACTTCATTCAATCAAAGAAAACAAACATCTCGAGTCTGCCAGAAAGTGCATCACAGCTCAGAAGTCATAATCAAAAATCTAAAGCCATTTCATCATCATGAACAAAGCAATATGGAAAAGTCCCAAGTTAGCTCTAAAGCAATTCCTGTTGGCGAGGGCTGGATTTGCTGAGATAGAACAGCAAATCATACCCTCCTCCAGCAAGTCAAGGGGATAATAGTAGTCAAAGTTGGCCAAGTTGTCACCCAAGACTGGGAATAGGGGAATAGTAATAGCATTGGAAATGTTAAAAAGTAACAATTTCATGGCAGCCCAAATCACTTTTCTAACGTGCCTGCCTCCTTTTTCCAAATAGTAATGCTGGCTGTAACAGACTCCTAGGTCTGTGGTGTTTTTCATTAAGACTAAGATACATATAACCAGCTGACTGAATTTCAGCTATCTAGCCAAGGCGGAGGCAGCAGTTTGTATGTGTTCTGCTTAAGCGGGGGCATGCGGATGTGGCGTGCGGGTGCCCCGTGGTGTGTATGCATGACTTGAGCACGCCCCATGGTGTGCGTACCCCACGCGTAGAACTTTTGGGGGGTGGCCCCTTCTTTGACAATTTGTGGGTTGGCAAAGAGCTGCCAACTTGCAAAGATTATTGGGGGAGTTGCCCGTGAAGGACATTGGGATGTCATGTTTGCGAGCTCAAGCACTGAATCCTGTCCCTGGAGCCTAACTCCCGCCCCCAAGAAGGAGACATGACACCAAAGTATGGGTTCAAATTAGGCCACAACTTTATTGAATTTCAGATGTAGGAAACTTGCCATAGGCCTTGGAAGGCATCCCTCTCAACCCAACAGGGACTGAGGATGTGCAGGGCAAAATAAGGAGCAGTGGGAGGGAACTGTAAAGTGTAAACTTACACAGCGTGCCCTCCCACCTCACCTCACCTCAGGTGGGAGTTTGACCTACTTGCCATCACTCTAGGGCCAGTGACTCCTGTAATCAACGCTTTAACGGGGCCTGCAAAAGGCCGCTGCGTGGTGGTGCATGAGATGCTCCCCCCAACTTGAAGATAGACTACCAAGGATACCTACCAAGGCCCCAAAACCGCCAAAGTTGTGACGAATTGGTACAGGGAAGGGAAAACCTGCCAATTCAGGGAAAATTCCGGTTCTCAATACAGCAACCATCTTACAACCATAGCAGCACCAGCTGACCTAGGAAGCAAGAGGTTAACCTGCAAAGAAGGTGTTATTATTTAAGGAGGGTTGGGTGGGTGAACCTGGAGCGGGGAAAGCAAAGTGAGTCTTGGCCAAAGCATTGGCCCTTTTCCCCTGGCCCTCACCAGGGGGCGGGTGGGTGGCCCTGGCCAGGTGAGTGTTGAGTGGTGTTGCAAACCCCACCCATCCATTGGGAGGAGTTGGGCAGAAATTGTGACATCAGGCTGTTGCAGTGTCAGAATGCCAGGAGGAGCCAGGGGCAGAGAAGAATGTGGTAGCAGTGTGGCCTCTTTGGTCAGCAGCCCCTCCTCCTTCTCTCCCTCTCTCTCTCGACTTCCTCCTCCCCTCCCCGTACTGCCCCTGACCAGGGGCTGCTTTCTCCATCTTTCCCTTATGTAGGAGAAAGAGGAGCAGGAGCCACCAGCCACTGAGGTTGTGCCATACTCAGCTCTGCAATCGGCCTCCTCCATCCCCTGATCATTCTTAACATTGGGGGTCCAGTCAGATGTGCAGCATAGCAATAAATTATCATCATCATCATCAATAATAATGAACCAGGCAGAGGGCCATCTGAGTAGTGGCACCCGTCCTGTGGAATGCCCTCCCTTCAGATGTCAAGGAAATAAACAATTACCTGACTTTTAGAAGACAACTGAAGGCAGCCCTGTATTGGGAAATTTTTATTGTTTGATGTTTTATCGTGTTTTTAATATTCTGTTGGGTGCTGCCCAGAGTGGCTGGGGAAACCCAGCTGGATGCTCAGGGTATAAATTATTATTATTATTATTATTATTATTATTATTATTATTATTATTTATTACATTTATATAGCTATATACTAGAAAAGCATATATGGAATTGCAGCTGAATATATAGTGATATAATATACCTTATTTCCCTTTTTACTTTTTATTCACTTTTTTACTATTTTGTTCAATTGAAATATAATAATAATAATAAAATAAAATAAAATAAAATAAAATAAAATAAAATAATAATAATAATAATAATAATAATAATAATAATAATAATAATACAGTTGAGCAAGTACAATTTACATTAAAATCATAAAATAACCAATAACAAAGCAGGGACACAGAAAAGCAGTGCATAGTGATTCGGAGCCATAGGAAAGAGGTACAACTTGATCATTAACATCAGCAGGTGTCTCTCTCTTGAAGTCTTTACATTTGGGCAGGCTGATGTCAGATGTGGCCTTCCTTCCAGTGCAAGGAAGAGAAGAGACTTTGTATGGATTGTGGGCAGATTAAGAATCTGTGTCTCTTGCAGATCTCCACCTGAAATGAATCTTATTCCATGAACTGATTCTCATTTTTAAAATAAAGTTCAAAGTATACCATATATGTATCTTTATTTTAACCAACAGGCTTCATAGTTTCTCGCGGAGCTTTGTTTAAAAGCTAGACTGAAAATGGTTGAATGGCTGCGTGACAAAGTGAGGTTGTGGCCTGGGAGGAAACAGGAAGATTCGCCAAAGTCTTGCGCCAGTGAAAGAAGGATGTAGTTGGCATTGGAGGGGGTGGGTAGGAAATGCCTTTTAACCTGGAGGCGGAGAGATATTCATTATTCAGTGCATTCTGCAAGGCACTGAGCCTTTAGTGAAGGTAAAATATAATAGGCATAAGCATAAAGGCCAAATGGCACGTGGTATGTGGATTAAAAACCTCAGTGACTGCCTCTCCTGTGGGTGGGATGTTCATGAAAGGACAATCTGGAATAAAGAAGCAGCAAGGAAGCAGGTAGTTATCTTTATTTCCAATCCTGTATTCTTAACACATCCCCCCCCTTGGGTGTCCCCAAGAGTACCCCACTCACTCAGACGCTTTTGTGGAGTAACAAAAAAAGGGCTATTTTCTTCTTCTTTGGCGATCACTCATAGCCGAGTAAGATTGCCTTCCATAAACATGGTTTTAACAATGAGTTCTTAAGTGACTGTGGAGGCCAATTCTGGATCCCCACATCCTTCCACAATGGGGACATTGGTTTCTGGGTGGGAGTTGATCACGGTGTGGATTTGCCAAGCGTGCCTTCCTCTTAGCACGTTTCTCCCTTGTGTCCTGAGTTCGAGTGTCTTCAAAGCCCATGACACCACTGGTAAAGGCTGTTCTCCAACTGGAGCACTCGCAGGCTAGTATTTCCCAGTTGTCAATGTTTATACTACATTTTTTTAGATTTGCCTTGAGCCAGTCTTTAAACCTCTTTTGTTGACCACCAGCATTACACTTTCCATTTTTAAGTTTGGAATAGAGTAGTTGCTTTGAAAGACGATCATCAGGCATCCACACAACATGACCAGCCCAACGAAGTTGATGTTGAAGAATCATTGCTTCAACACTGGTGATCTTTGCTTCTTCCAGTACACTGGTATTAGTTCGCCTGTCTTCCCAAGTGATGTTTAAATTTTTTCGGAGACACCGTTGATGGAATCTTTCAAGGAGTTAGTATTTATAAGCAGTCCATGTTTCACAAGTATACAGTAAGGTTGGTAGTACAATAGCTTTGTAAACAAGCATTTTGGTTTCCCTGTGAATGTCCCGGTCCTCAAACACCAGTACTGCTGTTCTGCTTGCAAAACAGTCTTCCACTTGTGCAATGGAACTTCCTTCTCTTCTCTTCTCTTCTCTTCTCTTCTCTTCTCTTCTCTTCTCTTCTCTATTCAACCTTTAAAATCTCCTCCAGAGGGAGGTGGGGGAGAAGAAGGCCAATGAATACCTGTCATGTGAGCAGCAAGTTGCTCATGCAGCATTGGCTATAACCCACATGTTGTTGAGACCATTCTCAGATAGCTCAGTCAGTAGAGCATGTGACTCTTCATCACAGGGTCATGGGTTTGAGCCATGCATTGGGCAAAAGATTCCTGCATAGCTGGGTTTTGGACTAGATGACCCTTGTCGCCTCTTCCCACTCTACAATTCTATTATTCTGTGGTTCCTATGCTTTGGCACCCATTGGGATAAAAGTAAGTAGCTGGAAAGGGGGAGAAGTGGGAGGCGTAGGCAGAGAGTAGTACCAACAACCATCACCTCGCTGCTCCAAGTCGCTTCTTTTAAATTAACCCTCTGACTATCGCAAGAGGGTGCATTATATTAGGTTCCATCAGGAATTTTCAAATGCTCATCTGAATAGGACATAGAGGGAGTTTTAGGATCCAACGTGCTCATGAAACCACCACAAACCACTACATTGCAATAGAAAGGAGTGGGGGAATCTGACTCTTAGCTTCTAGCACTGGGACCTAGAAGCAGAGTGGAGTGCCACATTCTGAGTGGGTAACGCTGAGTGGATCATAACCCCTCTCTATATCAGAAGCCTGTGCCGCACTGGAGCAACAATCTACTCAGTTGTTTCGTTCATGCATGGTTCTGTTTGGAACACCCTTCCACCTTGGTTTCTTACAAACTAGTGCTGCACTGTATCTTCCTCTTGATTCTTTCACCCTTTTACCATTATCCATCACTTAACGGGAAAAGAAAACTGTCAAAGGTTGGAGAAAATGTTGATTTTCTCATGGATGGGGTATGGGCTTTTTCTTTGCTTACCTTATTTTGAAGTGGCCAGGGGGTTTTGTGAGTAGGGAAGGGGAGAAATGTCTTTCTGTTTGCATTTAAAGGGATACAGACATAATTCACACTTTCTGAAATGACATGCAGACCAAAACACAGTAATTGCACAAAATTCACACGTCTTCGAATTTTGCAGTGCAGTTTTCCTGACAAATAAAAAGTGTACAAAATGGTATACAGTGGTGAAAGTTGAGGAGGAATGTTATAGGGTAACTCATCCCATGGCTCTTTGTCATATTAGGAATCACCACCACCACCACCATCATCACCATCATCATCATCCTATAATAAGAATCTATCTCATATACCCCGCCCATCTCTTATACCCCAGCCACTCTGGGCAGCTTCCCACAAAAATACAGTAACAACAACAACAATTAATAGCTTCCCGAAACAGGGCTGCCTTCAGATGTCTACAAAAAAAATATATAGTTGTTTTGACATCTTCTGGAAGGGCATTCCACAGGGCAGGTGTGACTACCGAAAAGGCCTTCTGTCTGCTTCCTTGTTGTTCACTTCTCTCAGTGAAGGAACCGCCAGGAGGCCTTGGAGCGGGACCTCAGAGTTCAGGTTGACAGGGAACTTACCGTATTTTTTGCTCTATAAGACTCACTTTTTCCCTCCTAAAAAGTAAGGGGAAATGTGTGTGCGTCTTATGGAGCGAATGCAGGCTGCACAGCTATCCCAGAAGCCAGAACAGCAAGAGGGATTGCTGCTTTCACTGCGCAGTGATCCCTCTTGCTGTTCTGGCTTCTGAGATTCAGAATATTTTTTTTCTTGTTTTGCTCCTCCAAAAACTAGGTGTGTCTTGTGGTCTGGTGCATCTTATAGAGCGAAAAATACGGTACATAGCACTGGAGAAATGTTTAGTGGAAAGAGAAATAACTACATACAACCCCCATTCATCTCTACCTTGCCATTATAAGATAAGGTCAACACCTCACTCAAATTCCAATGCATCCTTTGAACGAGGCATACACAACCTTTTTTCATGGGCGGAGAAAACCTTTGAGAAATATGGAGAGATTTTGACATAGCAAGGGTTTTTTTGTTTGTTTTAAAAATGAATTTATTTCTGGTCTTATCCATTGCCCTTTTCGCATTTTGATAGAAAGGGGTTTGATCTTCTTTTTCATTGTCCATTATAGAGTGATTATGATGAATCAACTGAAACGATGTTATTATAGCCACTTACAGCTGCTCTTAATGATAAATTAATAGGCCCACTGAAGGTTTTATTAACTCCAGATAATAGCAGTACTGAAGTACATTCTATCATCTTTCAATATTTTACACAAACATCAAGAAACTATAAGGCAGATAAATATTATTGTTGAGGCTGGGGGGGGGACAAGGTAAGGAGAGAAGATCCCAGTACATTTTGAAATCTGACAATTAAACAAATGATAGGCATCAGTTTAAAGGTAGATGACAGGAAGTAGAAGATAAATGCACCGTAATAATTTTCAGCACTGCTGGTTTATAACTCTTTTGTTTATCTATTATAGCAAACAAGAAATTTCCAAGTGTGCAGTTCCTGAGAAACAGCTTAGGCAAGACTCCAGGAACTGAAGTTCAGCAGATTTTAACGAGTTGTAGAACAGAACCCCTGCTGTAATTAATTTGTAGTTAAGACTCCTTTTACACAGCAATCTGTTTTGTCATTTACAAAGAAATTTCTGCAGCAAAGTCAACGATAAACCACATTTTGCAAAACATTGAGATGAAGAAAAAAAAGATCACATTTTAAAAGTGGGGAAGCATTTAGGGATTGAAAACATAATTTATGTTCTTCAAGGCTTTAGCACATTTTCTTCATTTCGCTCTCCAAAATGTTCATTTGAGTTATACCAATGTCAATACAACAGACAGGTGTTTGAAAACACATGCAGCAACACTCGGAGAATCAGGAATAGTAGCAGTTCTGCAGCAGAATTCTGATTCTCTTGTTAAGTCAGCTAAGTGTAGAGCCCATTTCCGCAGAGTGCTGTTGCATGCAGGTCCTGCAACTGGGCTTCCTATCGGTATATGGCTTGTCACTGTAAGAATTGTCCTATTTTTCCAAGACATGTCCTCTTTTTTTCATGGGTAGAGCTGTCCATAGCGATCCACAGTTAAAAGCAGAAGTTGGCAAATGTGTCCTCTTTTTTGCTCTTCAAAGTATGGCAACCCTAGACATTCTCAACACCCAGTCCTAACATTGTCATACTAAGTTCAAAGGACACTTCTATCTGAATAAGCCTTCCTAGAATTGTAGTTGCATCATAAAAGAATATATAACATCACAAGTGTTTACATGTTGATTTAACAATGGGGAAGTGAATTGGCTCCCAGTACGTTTCCGAGCACGATTCTAAGTGTGGGTGCTGACCTTTAAAGCCCTAAACAGCTTTGGCCCTGCATAACTGAAGGAGCTTTTCCACCCCCATCGTCCAGCCTGGACACCGAGACCCAGCTCCAAGAGCCTTCTGGTGGTTCCCTCACTGTGAGATGTGAGGTTACAGGGAACCAGGCAGAGGGCTTTTTCAGTAGTTGTGTCTGCCCTGTGGAATGCCCTCCCATCAGATGAAAAAACAGATAAACAGCTATGTGGTTTTTCAAAGATGTATGAAGGCAGCCCTGTTAAGGGAAGTTTTCAGTGTGTAGTATTGTAGTGTTTTTTTACTTCTTTTTTTGGTTGGGAGCTTCCCAGAGTGGCCAGTCACATGGGTGGGATAGATGATAGATAGATGATTGATAGATAGATAGATGATAGATATAGATAAGAGAGAGAGAGAGACGAGGACATTACATGTGAGGTTGTTGACCATTTTGACTCACACCACTGTCTTCTCCCCCCCCCTTATCTTGCTTTCTTCCTATGACACCCCACCTCTTTTCCCATTCTTGAAGAACCATAGCCCTATTTGTGTGCTATCAATAGGGCTTAACCAAACATGTGAGAAGGGGAGAACATGCACAAACTCACCAGCTGTCCTCCCTAATCCCTGTTACTTTCTGTGTATTCTAGGCCGGTCCCCTGGAAGCCTTCTGTACCCATGGATACTTTCGTGTATTTTGGAATCCCTCCTTGCACATTTAGTTAAGCTTTATTCAGTATGTCTGAACAGTGATAATGACTTCACCCAAGCTGTGTCTGTCCTCCTTGCAAGCTTCCTCTAGGCCTCTGGTTGGCTAGTGTGTTATAAGTGGGAAACGCACTGAAAGTTCTGTTGTGAACATGACTAGACTTTCCTCCCCTCTGGTTCCCCAGTCCTCTGGAGCAGATTTCAGAAACTTCGAGGTGGGGTGGGGACTACAAAAGGTAGAAGAGGAAGGGTAACTCTGTATGTCACCCATTGATTTTATTGATATTTTATGGGGTTGAGGATGGGCTGATTCTTTTGTGCCTGCTTGGTAAGCAATACGCATTTTTTAAAACCCGAATCTTACAATATTTATTGTGTTTCAAGCAGGCCACTAAGATGGCATTTGTTCTAAGACACCAAAACATGCTGTGACGGAGGTTTGGAATTAAATTCCCTACAGGTAAAGAGGATAATTGGGCAGTTTGTCTTCGGATTAACTTGTCTAAATAATATGAAATTATAATAGGCTCAGGACTATTAGGATTAATTTGCGTAATAACAGCACACTCATTGCTGAGGCAATCTCTTAGATGCTCCACATGTCTCCAATACTGAATCAAGGTAAATGACCAAAACCCTTTGGAGCACACAGAGAAATGGAGACAACTTTGGGGGAACCACATGGAAGCCAGAACACATTTCCTGTCACTCACAGTCAAATTTTACACTCTGCAGGGGAAATGAGCTATGGATAGTGCCACACAGGCAATCAGTTCAAATCCCAAGTTTGATATATAGCTAGCACTGCCGCTTCAACTTTAGTAGATTCAGATACGTGCGGCCCATTAAATTTCAAATACGCAGGTTCCTGATTTTGCAAAACGTCTGAACAATTTGAAGAGAAGTTCTGACAGAACTAGGAATGGGCAAATCACTCTGTTTTGGTTCCTCTTGATTCATACTTCAGTTTTGCAGCCCTTTGCATTTTTTCAGTCCCCACAAATTTTCAACAGCATATTTGTGCACTTTTATCCAAGTGTGCACATTTCTGAATGCTGTTTTGTTGAACGTACATTTTCTTTTTTTTCAGGTTTCTCTTCATATAATGCACTCTTGGGTGCTATTTTCAGGAATGTGTGCATTGCAATACACATTTTTGGAGAACTGGATTGCAGATTTCAGGGATCTGCAGAATTGAAGCGGCAGCTGTATCTCCAT